TATTTAACAAAAAATTATTCTACACACTTAGTGTATCATTAAAATAACTCACTGGATTTAAGTAACTAAAATTATTAAGAAAATGCTTCAAAATCTAAAAAAACTTATGTATATCAGAAGTGTTAAGTATAAAATACTACAATTTAAAACAGTGATAAAATTGGGATTTCTTGAGGTTATGTTGCGAAAAATGGGATTCAGTGAAAAGTGGACATTCTGATTCCTAGGTAATGAAATGTGCGCGGACGGTTTCCTATAGTGTTCTCGTCAACGGAAACCCCACATGCCATATAACCCCGTCCAGAGGATTACGACAAGGCAATCCTCTATTGCCTTACTTTTTCTTCCTCTGTACGTAAGTCCTAATCACAAACATTAAAAGGACATTTGCTCTGGTCAGATCACTGGTTTAAAAGTCGCCCATGCGAGTCCCCCAATATCTCATCTTTTATTTGAAGATGTCAGTTTTTTCGCAAAGCAGTTCAAGAGCAGTATAATAGCTTACTTAATATCTTTGGATCCTATGGGAATGCTTCAGGACAAATAATCAATTTCGAGAAATCGGCTATTACATTCAGGAAAAAAATTCATGTAGAGAGTATGGAAAAATTAAAAAACATTCTAGGTATCACTACCGAAAGTGGAAATGAAAAATAGTTGGGTATACCCCAACAACTCCAAGGATCAAAAACTCGGTTCCTCACGTATGTACAAGAAAATATTCACCCGAAACTTAATGGTCGGACTGCAAAATATCTTTCAAAAGCTGGAAGAGCAATTATGATTAAATCTGTAGCTTTTGCTATTCCGACATTCCCTATATCGTGTTACCTTCTCCCTAAGAAATTCTATAAAAAAATTACTAGTGCAATCTCAAAATTTTGGTGGAGCTCAGGCTCTAACTCAAAAGAAATGCACTGGCTAACATGTGATAAAATATTTCAACTGAAGAAAGAGGAAGGTATGGGATTTCGATCGCTCGAAGAATTTAATCTAGCTCTTTTAGCTAAACAACTTTTCTAAACAACTTTGGAGATTGGAACAAAATCTTAACTACCTTCTTACAAAAGTGCTCAAAAGAAGATCTTTTTGAAACTTGTATCCCTTCAAATCACCTAAGGCCTCATAGACCATCTTACGGTTGGAGGGGTATGATGGCAGCAAAAGATCTTGTCAACAAAGAACTTAGATGTGCAATCGGAACATGAGAACACACTCTAGTTTGGGAAGACCCGTGGATGCCAGACTTACAAGCAAGAGCACCTATCATCAAGCCAAATTTACTTGGGTCATGTGATGTATGCAGTAGGGATTGGCATTTTGGTTTAGTTATGGGGTTTGGTTTGGTTTGGTTCATTTCGATTCAGTTTATTCGGGTCTAAAAACATTAGTAAAAGTCAACCCAAATTAGTTTCTTTTGATTTGTGTTTGGTTCGGTTGTGGTTTAATTCAGATTGGATTTAATTTGGTTTGGTTTATGTTTAGTTCACTTTAATTTGGTTTAGTTTGTGTTTGTTCAGTTCAATTGAATTGATTTTTTAGTATTTTTTTGTCATCCTTTAGTTGATTTTTAGTTTTGTTTTAGTTCAGTTACAAAATATAACTTTTAAAACATAAACATATAATCATATATACTAAATATTGTTTTCTTCATATTTGAATGTATTGCTAAACATCACAATAAACATATTAAAGATGTAATCCAATAATTTTATATTATTATTTTTAAACATAATATAGATATTATAGATATTTTTTGGTTTTGATGTTACTGTATTTCTTCTATTTTTCTTTACGTTTCAAGAATACTCTGGGTGGATAGGCATTCATTGTCGAAATAAAAGTGTGTTCCTGAGGTTGCATTAAAAAGAACTATCAGAGATGATTAGTCCAACTAGAAAGGACTCTGGCCATTGTGTTGAATGTCCCCAGTTCAAATAAACGCGGGGACGTAAATAATATTATATGATGTGGATTTGGGCATGCAGAGATTACGGGGGTTCAGCTCCAAACCTCCTAGTACTAAAAATAAAATAAAAAAATTACATGCAACCACATTAAAACATAAACATACAATTATATATACTAAATTCTTGTTCTCTTCATATTTGAATGTAATACCGCGTAACAAAAAAAAAGAATCTAATGCTAAACATGACAATAAAAATATAGAAGATGTAATCTAATCATTTTATATTATTATTTTTATACATAATATAAATATTGTAGCTAATTTTTCGGTATTGATATTACTGTATAAAATCCGTATTCTTTTACTTTTCTTCACGCATACTCAAGGTAGATAGGCATTCATTGTCGAAATAGAAGTGTGTTTCCGAGGTTGCATTAAAAAAATTATATCCAGGATGATTAGTTCAAGTAGAAAGGACCATGACCATTGTGTTGAAGGTCTCCTGTACGAGTGACCACGGGACTAAACTAATATTACATAATATAGTTTTGGGTCTGTAAAAATTACGGGGTTCAACTGCCAATCTCCTAATACGTCAAAAAAAAAGGCTTAGATGCAATCATATATGACGAAATTAAGGAAAATGGAATGATGATGGTGTATTACATGACAGTAGCAAATATATACTTGTACATGAGACCAAGAACACTAATTATAAGACTAAAAGATAACTGAAAATTATAAAACATAAGTGTTAAGCTAACCTACCTGCCCACTCGGATTTTGTAACGATAACACGTTATATTCCCTGACTTTCATTGTTAAAGGTGGTTTTGATGACACAAACAACACCATATGTAGAAAAAATGTAACAGATGACGGTGCAAAAAGCTCTAAATTTCCTCTTATAATTAGAGCTTGATAAAAGCATGAGTAGCTAAATATACCCGGCAAATCAACGTTAATATTAGTTATAGATTCTCCTTTCCCTCAGCAGGTACCTGTAAGTGTTGAGTCTATGAACCCCAATTGACCCTTGGACCAAGGTTGACTGAAAATATTAGTTTTACAAGTACAGTAAGATGGCATGCATCGAACAGATGAATCCGCAAATTCAAAGAAATTTTTAAGAACGTTACCTTCTCCTCAAGTAAAACCATGTCCAAACCCATAAACTGGCCAGCTTTCTTCACATTCCTTGTCTCCTAGAAACGAAGAAGACGTGTCACAACTATCTTCTTGCAAAGACCTGCCTCTAAATAATATATTTGGATTTTAGTACTCGCCATAGGTGGAAGCAGTGGTTCTAAGTTTTTCAAGTTTTTGATTATAAAAAAGGTTGCGAAATCTCTAGATATTTTTACAGCACATATAGTAGCTTGGTTTGGTGGGGGGTCAATGAATCTTAATCGTAGAGGAGAGATGAATTCATTGCCCCCATGATCACCGAGAGTTACTTCATCGACTAAATTAGGCGGGGAGAGAAAAAAAGACGATCTGGCGGAGGTTAAGCTTCATAGCTCACAAAGAAGAACTCTTATCATCAATCAAACTTAGTTAGTGGTCTTCAAGTAGGCATTCTGCCACTTGGATTCAATTTTTGTTGAAAGAAACTATTAGTATTGTTTGAATTCTCAACAAATAGGTGAAACCACCTTTTTGAAAATGTTGCTAAACATTGAGCTTGGTCTCCCCAAATACCAAGAGCAAGGTAAGTTTGATGACGACCAGATCCAGAAGCACTTTTCATGACAACTTTAGCAGTAGAATTTCCTTTACCTAAAAAAGACTTTGATTTACTTGATAGTTGATACTATTATCAATGAGCACACGTAAAAAGTGAATATAGTATATACATTTGTCCAAATTCTCATATATATATAAAAAAAAAAAGAGTAAACCATTCTCCGGATTCTGGAGAGAGAATGTAAAAGCTTCGGTGGCCACGCATTATGGAAATTTGGTGTAGTGCGGATTCGAATTCGGATCCCTTTATGGATTTACGGAACGCCTTGACCACCCGACCACAGACGCGTAGTTAAAATTTTGTTTACGAAATTCTCAGATATGTTTACATGAAATCCAAAATTCTCAAATAAACCTTCAACACTCGAAACTAGTTTCATTTTCTTAAGATGTATTTTCATCAGGGAGATCTCATCTTTCTATATCTATGTGTTGGCCAAGTGATCAAACAAATATGTAAATAAATCGACATCTTCCTAATGAAAATCTAGTCTTTTAGGGAATATTTGCATAAAATATGCACAAAATACATTTCTTATTAACAGTACATTTAGAATAGATCGTATGAGTAGAGAGATAATATCAAATCTAAAACAGTGATTATCTTTAAAAATAAATAAATATCCTAGCATACAAAGTTCCAAAAAATTAGAGCACCCCCATTGAGAGTTCAAATGGGGGTTCACACGGAAACCAAAAAAATAAAATAATAAAATAACAAAAATCTATGAACTCCTCTCTCCTAAAGTTCACCCGGGTGAACCCCTCTCTCCTAAGGTTCAACACGTGTCGGCCCGGGATTAGTCTAGGTCCTTTTTTTTTCTTTTTTTTTTAAAAAATAATTCAAAAAGAAAATAGAAAATTTTTAATAATAAAAAATTGATTCAATGAACCCAAGAGGGGGTTGTGGATGCTCTTAATCGGTCTTTTGCTGTTCCCTAGACAGAGAAGACGTTTGATTAACCGGTTTAGAATAAATACGTAAAGCTAAGATTTACTGTTTTCCAAGTTTGTCTCTTGATTAGTTAAGACTCAAGAATCCTTTTAAATTCCTTTTGTAGATCTCCACTTCCCATATAAACTGATATTCTCTCAGTAACCTAACCCTAAATCGTTTACTCATCTACTCTCCTGTCGGTGTTTTAAACTTCTGATTTGTAAGTTCACTGAAGAACTCTAGGACCTACGTGGTTAGTTGTGTATTGTGTTTGGGTTCTCACGCGTCTATTATATTTTCACCAGTGTCCTTATTATGATCGTTTGCTTCAGGCTCAGGCTCAGGCTAGATCCGCTTTTCTTTTGCTATACAAGTCTTTTTTTTTTGTTTTGTTTTTGTAGACAAATGGAAGATCATAAGCAGACGAGTTTCACGTTCGAGATAGATAATTTCTCCGAGAAGAAAGGTCTTATATCATCACCAAAATTCTCAAGCGGTGGCTGCAAATGGTAAAACAAACTATTGCATATATGTTTTGATTCTTAACTTGTCCACTAGATTCAATAAATAATCCTCTTAAGCTTGATGTTATTAATTAGTTTTACAACTAAAGAAGAACATTTGCTCGTTTCTTTAGGTTTGTTAATGTTTATCCCAACGGATATCATATTGATGATCGCATGTCTCTGCACCTCCAAGTTGCAAATCCGGAATCCTTTCCACTTGGATGGAAGTGGCAAGCTAGTTATTCCTTTGCTATACTGAATGAATCAGGGAAAGAGCTCTACAGAACACCTGGTAATTGTCTCTAATCTGTATGTCTCTACATGCATATATGTTTGATTGTCATGGAAGAAAATTCAAATAGACCTATCTGTTTCTGTCTTACAGAATCGTGCAAATTGTTCCGGGCTCAGTTCACAGGATGGGGTAGCCCAAAGGCCTTCACTCTTCAAAAGCTTCAAGATATGAGATTTTTGCAGAACAACAAACTTATCTTAAAGGTCAACGTAAAAGTGATTCAAGCTGTTGATGAAGGAGTCGCAACTGGGACGGACATGTTAGAAGTCCGTGGTTTTAAAGTTCTTTATTCTCAGGTATAGTTACTCTTTATTTTTTTTTTCCATTTTCAGGATTGGATCTTGTAAACATGATTATATCTTCTTTCAGTTGCCTTCAGTAAACAGGCTTTTCAGAAAGCACCCTGACGTTGCAGTGAATTTCAAACTAAGTAACCAATTGGTGAAGACAACATACATGAATCTCCTCCTCGGTCTCATCGAAAAACTGGACAAGCCTCAAAATAATTTCACCGAAATTGAGCTAAGCAAGGTTCACAGCGAGTTAATCGATCTAACAAAAGTGGGGTTCGAGCTAGACTGGTTGAAGAAAAGGCTTGATGAGGTTTCTCTGGAGAAGAGTGGAGTTACTGATGGTTCTCGAGTCCAAGAACTGGAGGAACACATCAAGAATCTCAACCTTGAACTGGACACGGAGAAGGTAAAGTATGCTACTTGTGTTGCTAAATTTGCCTCGCTGGAGGAGACGGTGTCGGATCTTAGGGTTGAGCTGAGCAAGGAGAAGGAAAAATCTGCTACTTCTGCTGCTGAAGTTTTGTTGTTGGAGCAGATCGTGTCGGATCTCAGAGTTGAGCTGAGCAATGAGAAAGACAAATCTGCTACTCCTAAAGACTTGGTGGATGGTGTTGTTCATTCTTGGGAAGTATTGGATTATGCCGATATTACTACTGATGAAAACGTAGAATGAACAAATGTTATTACTGTTTTTATTTTCCTTTATAAATCAATAAGTTGCGGGTTTTATTATCGTCTCAGTCTGACATTTGAAGTGTTCTCATCTATGTGTGTTTGTTGTCGTCTCGATCTGAACCATTTCTATATACACCTCTAAATACTAGAGGAAAAAGTGTTCCATATTTTTTGATGAAAAATAGAGATTGTTATCTATACTATTAAAGCAAAATGCTTATTAGGATTTTGTCTTTATGTTTTCAAGTTATTTATATTGCTATGCTACTAGATTTTGACCCGCTCGACCGAACGGGTGTCGATTTTATTTTTTTAGTTTTTTTGGTTTATGATAAAAAAATGTATTTATAATATTTTGTTGTATTATGAATGAGTCACTTTATATTTTTTGTGTTTAAACCATCTGATGTATACTGATATTTGGTACCATATAAACAAAATCAAAATTTATATAATCCCTTGCAGCTTACAAATATCTCAACTACATTTGCAAGGTAGATCACGTCAAATAATTTCAAAAAAATATATTGATCGTGTTTCATGGTGAAAAGCCCATAATATAGGAAATGCTAAGATTTGGTTGGTGTTAGATCGAATTATATGGTATCATATATTTGAATTTACTTAAAAACTTATTGGTTATGATTAGAAAAAGGAAACGCTAGGTAGATGCTTTTGTTTATATTTGAACCAAAAATTAGGTAAGTGTACAATTTGATAGATTTTTGTGTGCGGGAATTTTGATTTCAGTTAAAATTCTGAATGTACTTATCTTTTCGAATTGACTTTTATAAAAGTATAAGATTTTGGTTGGTGATGAAATATAGAAAAATAGAAAGACATTATGCAAATTCGATACTTGTTATGAGCTCGTATTTTTCAAAGCTGCGCAGTCATAAAGTTTACATCAATATTTGTATTTTTTCCGCCATTGATATTGTTCTGAGCTTTACATAACATTGAATGTTGGTGTTGATATTGCAGGAGAAGTGTTGTGGCGGTAAAGGAAATCATGTATGTTCTTATATCCCATTTAATTATTTGCAGTTAGTTGGTATTACTTTAGGAAACCATTAATCATGTGAAAAAGACAAACATTTTTTCACAATTAAGTTAATTAAAATTTTCAGTAGCATTAGAGTGTAATTAGTGTGGAAGTTTTAGGGATATTTTATATTGGTACTTCTATTTTAATAAAATAGATATTATTTACTTAAACTAAACAACATAATGTTTCTTATATTTTTGGTAACTAATACTATCCAAGATTTTAAATAATATTAATTCTAATTTATGTAAATAATACATTTCATTTAATTTGAATATTAGTTTTCTTGCTTAGTATTATTTATCAATAAAATTTGAATATATATATATATATGGAAATTTAAAAAATATTATTTGCCATGTCAGTTTTACATTTTGAACCTTCAAAAATATTTTAAAATTTATTATAAAATTAAATTTTACATCTAAAATAAACAAAATAACTTTCAGAAGTTATTAAAAACGAAAAAGAAACTAATATTGTCATATCAATAAATTTTACTTTTCTATTACCTTTATTTCATTTTTTTCAAATAACTTAATAAAAAATTCCTCAAAGTTTAAGATATTACAAATTTTCAGCCTTATATAATATTAAAATGTATGAGTTATTTAATTAAAAAAATATTTTTTTTGTTTTTGTTTTCAATGAATCATTTGATATCGGATCACGGGTTAATAACGGATTTTGGATTTTACAAAGTTTTATCTAATTTTTAACTAACAACTTTTTATTAAATTTAACTGGATTAACACATTTCGCCAGATCTATCGGTTCAACCACAGTCTGAATCAGATATGAAAACATTTAATGGAAATTAAATATGATAGAATTTTTTTTTTAAACACAAACATAATAAATTTAAAATTATTTATTTTAATAAAATTTATAAAATCAATCAAATTTGATCAAAGTAGTAAAATTATACCCGCGATTTTAAAGCACATGTTAAAATCTAGTTTTATATTTATAGAAGAAGAAATAGCATTTTATAATTCTTAAATTATAGAATCATTTTTTATATTTCCAATATAGTCCTTTAAATTTCAAAGTTTGATAAATATAACTAAAACAATTATTCTTATAGGGAAACACAATTTTTATTAAAATATGATCATATTTTTTATTTATGGAATAGTATTTTAAGGAAATTCTTATTTAAACAAAGTACAATTTTATGAAAATATTGTAAAATTTAAAGTTAAATAGTGTTAGTTTTTATATTTTATAATTATAAGTTATTTGTTGTAAAATAAAATTATAGAAACTTTTGAGAATATTTTAGTATAGAGATAAAAATCTCTATAATATTATTTGAGAAGTCAGTTTCCTACGTGTCGCGCTCACGTTAACTCTCACGATGGTTGATTACATAGATAGCCTTAAGGAACTAAAAATATTAAATAAGATTGATATTATCAATGTATTTCCTATTTTTCATAATAATATTTTACTTAATTTTTTTTAATTTAAGTTTAGTTTCTTAAAACACATAAATAAAAAAGGAAATATTTATGATATATAAATCTTTATATATAAACGAAATTTAATATAAAAAAATTCGAATTTTTCCTAAAAGAACATATTTAGTGTATATTTAAGAGATATTAAAAAAACTAAAAATTGTTTTTTACAAAAATAAATATTTTGATCAAATAATTTCAAAATATTTTTACATAGCATAGCACTATACACTATTAATGAAATGGAAATATTACATTTTATCATTATTAAAATTTCTCTTTAATATTTAGTTTGCTTTTAATTTTTGTTTTTTTATGTTTGTGGAACTTAATATATAAATAATCAAAATAGCTAAGTAAATCTAAGTTCTCATTGTTAAGATTGTTTAAAATACGTTTCAGTTTTCCTTTTAAGAAATCTAAGGCATAAAAAAATTTAGAATTTATAATTTTTAACTATTGTAAATAATAATATGTGCTCATAAAGTTTCAAAAGTATCTTTATACTCATATTTATGTATGTAAATTCCTACTGATCGTACTTTCTTTTTTAATATTTCTTAAAAATCAACATATATCCAATTATTAAAAATATTATAAAAATAATTGCATTAAGCAATAAATAAAAATAATTTGATTTATTTAGAATAAAAAATAATTATATTTCCATTTGAATTAGAAAAATATATATAACTCAATATACTCACAAAACGAGTAACATAACGAATCTAACTAATATCCAAAATAAAATATCTAACTACAACAAGAACATATAATTTTAGAATAAATATTTATTTATTTTTATACATATAGATATAGGATGACTCAAAAATATCGTATATAAAAATAAATTATTAACCAGCTGTTATAGTTCAGTTTTTTTGTAAAATTTATATATATGAATGAGACTTCGGAATATTATCGTTATATTCATTTATGTAATTTTGAGTAATCAGTTTATTTTTAATTTCATTATAAGTATAATATATATTAAGCTATACATAATCTTACTAAAATAGATTTACATATATAAGATGATAATCAATCTAAATGCAATAATAATCAAAGTTTAGTATATTTAGAAGAAAAATACTATAGTTGAATTCAGAAAAAATAGATACAATGTGAACTATTATAGTTTTTTACAGAGGAGCCGCCGAAGAAGACCTAGCTGTGAAGTCCTCACCGCCTTGCCTTCCGCACGACCTACGGCTCCGGTGATCGGAGGTATGGGTCCCTCCTCCCCTCCTGTGATCTGGGATCCAGAACTCTCCCCTTCCCATGTGAAATCCTATTCTCAGGCTGCCGCTCGAGGTTCGCGTGATCCAGAAGTAACGTTATCCAACGTTGTCCGTTTCTCTCATGTCGCTGATCTTCAAGGAGGAGTTGCCTCTGTGGATTTACCGGAGGAGCTACTCTCTGATTCTAAACCATTGTGGTCTGCATATATTGTTGGTCACTTCATGGGGGATGCACCCCATATAGGAAAAGTTCATGCCATTGTCAACCGAATCTGGTCCTTCCCGGACAGGCCTGCTAAAATCGATGCACAGTTCATAAGTCCCCGAACAGTGCTGTTCCGTATCAACAATCCACAACTCAGGGACAGAGTCCTGAAAAGAACCTTTTGGCATATTGCTGATATATCTATTGTGGAGCGTGAATGGAGCCCCAAAACCGCCTCCGCTAAACCTGATCTCACTGCGGTTCCGTTATGGGTTGACCTTCAAGGGGTTTCGGATCATCTATTCTCCCACATGGGTCTTACTTTTTTGGTGATACTATTGGATGCACAGTGAAGCTCCACCCAAATACGGAACGTTGTGTTCGACTAGATGTTGCTCGTCTGCTGGTGGTTATGAATCTTGAGGAACCTCTACCGGCGAGTATAAAAGTTAGGGGCTCAGGGAATATCATCTATGTGAGTTATCCATGGCTGCCTCCACGATGCCTTGGCTGCCAAACATGGGGACACACAAACAAGACATGTTCTAAAAATCTGAATGTCACAGATAAAGATAACGAAGACGTGGTGAAGGAGCAAGAGCTTGGACTGCAGGAAGCCTTAGTGGAGACAGAGAAGCCTTCAAAGTCTATTCATCTTGAGAACCCTGTATTTGAGGTAGCGCAATTGGCTACGGTTGAAACGAGTGCTCAACATTCATCAACACAAGGCAATGATGATGGTTTGGAAGATACTGAATTAGTTGAGAAGAAATCTTGTGCTTCAGACAAGGAAGCAAGAGTCATTGACGTGCCTGAGAATGAGAAACCATGGTCGTTGGTTCCCCAAAGCTCGCCCACTGGTCGTCGACATAATGGTAAGCCGAGTAGAGGTATGGATACAGAGATTCCTCGCACTAGCTCACCGTCACGATTCCATGTGCTTTGCAACGATCTTGAAGAAGGGGAGGTGGAAGCGGATGATGAGAGCTCCAGCTCCAGCTCTGAAGAGGAAAGCTCTGTGGAGTCTAAGATAGCTCTTGTGAAAAAGCAACAACTGGAGAAACAGCAGGTTGGGAAGAATAAGAAGAATCAGAACTGGAAAAACCCAAGTGCTAATGTTGGGAACAAAAAAGATCAAAACAAGGGTGCGAAGAACAAGCAAACAAATCAAGTCTCCTCACGGAGACACTAATGTGATGATATTATTAT